AAAAGACAGTGTGGTATGTGTCTACATTTGGTTGCAAAAGCAGTATAAATCAAGGACCTGAGACTTGACAAGTTGATTGATGATTTTGGCTTGACGCCAAAAAGAAACAAAACAAAATGGAATTTGTGGACTATGATCGGTGTGTAACGTTTTTGGTTTTCTTGTTTACTTGGCTCACTATAATGAATGATCTCTTTGTTTTCGGCCAAAACCTAAGGGGAAATTAACTAACACTGCTTAATCATTAATTAATGCGCCTAATCTCTATATCTAATTTCCGGAATCAAAATATAGTATAAATGAAGAAATGAAACTGACACTTGCCAATCTACTGAAAGCTAAATGCTTCACCTGAAACTCTGCCACATTCTCTCTCTCTCTCATACAAATACTTTATTACCATTATTGTATTGTATCATCTCCGATCTCGAATCGATCTCTTGTTTCTTTCACTCTCTGGTCTCCTTTTTGCGACTTTTTGGACATTAAGCTGTTGTCTCTCTGTGTGATGTCTTACAGCAGTTCAAGCCCAGAAAATTACAGCTCGCCCACCGCCGGGGACTCGCCGGAGCTCAAACTATACCAAGCTTTCATCTTCTCTGTTCCAATCTGCTTCACATTCATCATCCTCTTCTTGTTTTACCTCATCTACTTCCGTCGCGGCAGTGCCGATTTGTCTTCACTCGGAATGCGAACTAATATCTACCCCGGAAACTCTCTCTCCACGGTAAACTCCAATTTCTATGCTCTTTGTTTTCATCGCCATAGGTAGAGCATACTTCTTCTATCACAATTTTCCACCTTTTTTGTACCTTGATGGGTTTTCAAGACTTTAAAGATTTTTCATTGAATCGCTTCTGTTCCATTGATGGGTTCTTGGTTCTGTAATGATTTGGTGGGTTTTAAACATGAACAGGCTGAATTAGGTTTGAGCAAAGAGCTGAGGGAGATGCTCCCCATTGTCGTCTTTAGAGAGAGCTTCTCCGTAATGGATTCACAGTGAGTTTCCAGATTTCTTTTCTCTCTTTGTAATTTAATCTTTTGGATTCAGGACCATGAGTGAGATGTATCAAGGCTTAGTGAAGGAAAATTATGAATAAGGGTAGTGATTAGTAAGTTTAGAGCAGTTAGGTTACATAAACAATGATCAGAACCAAGTTTTACATTGTGGAAGAGAACAAAGATGAGAAGTTGAATTTATGATCTGCCTTGGTTAAGAAATGTGCTATCTTCGTTTTAGATCAAATTATGGTCATATTATAACTTGAATGGAGGTTGTAAATGGCACAACAGTTACTTCCATGATCAGATAGTTGTAGGAGGTTATGGTGGCTATAGTTTATGGACATTGTGTATTATGTATATGGAAGAGAGAGATCTCAAGATTTCATATTCCATGATAGCTTAAAAAGAGTGTAATTCGTTGGACTTGAACCTTGTTACTGAGAGCTAAATTGTAATAACAAGAATCAAGAATAAACTGGTTTGGAATTTTGATTCACAGATGTTCAGTGTGCCTTGCGGACTATCAAGCAGATGACAAGCTTCAACAGATCCCAGCATGTGGACATACTTTTCACATGGACTGTATTGATCTTTGGCTAACATCACACACCACTTGCCCTCTTTGCCGTCTCACTCTCATCCCGAGCCAAACACATCAAAGCCAAGAAGAAGATCCTGTTCCTAGTCTCTCGAGCACTGATGGAGATGCGTCGAATCAACCCGAATCTCAGCCAGAAAACCATGGAAACGATGTCCAAGAGCAACAGGGTGATCCGAATGAATGTGATCGAGGTGAAGAGAGCTTCAAGGAAAGTACGCAAGAGGATGAAAGAAACAGCATTGGGACATCTAATGGTTGTTGTAATTGTAGAATTGGTTAAGATTCTTACAGCTTCTGATCAGCTTTTCATGTGACTGTAAAGTTGCATTTGTATGTTGTACCATTTGTACATTTTCTAGGAGTGAAGTCACTGAGAAACTTGTCCCATTATTCTTTGCGATTGCTCGCGCGCAAAAACAAAGAGTATTGTTTGCTGAAAAACAACGAATAATCGAAATATTCAAAGTTGAGAAAAGGTTGTCCTTAGCTGAATTAACGCTTATACATAAAGAGTGAGAACACAAAGGATAACATAAGAAAGACAAAGAGAGAGAAAGAGAGAGCAGAGTCAAAAGGTGGGTGAGAGACTAAATCAATCACGAATTTAGGAGATTGAGACGTGTAATCAGATAAGCAATCTCAGATTACTTTTTTCTTGTGTTTGAGTTTGATCTTTGGGGAAGAAAAAAAAACCAGAGCTTGATTTGTCCTCTCTCTGCTTTAATGCTTTCTCTTTCTCTCACTTTAAATCTCATGTTTGGTCTTATCAAGATTCCTTTCCTTGTTTCTTGGCGAAGATAAGGATCTTTAAATTCGGTGGTTGTCCTAATCTGGAGGGTTTCCTTTGCACATTCATAGAACCCTAGAGACCAGAACCAGAGGAGATTTGATTTTTGTTTCATCTTTGACTTTCTTGGCTGCTCTGAATCGAAAGTCCCGGCATGGGTTTAACACAAAACACAGTTCACTACTGTTGTGTCTCAAGAGGCAATCAGATTCTGTACGCTTACAACAATGGCGGAGACCACCGGAGCAACGAAAGCCTTGCTGCGTTATGTCTGGAAAAGACTCCGCCTTTCCACAAATGGTACTTCGAAACCATAAGCAAGAGGACTTTTGGGTTCTTGATGGAAGATGGGTCTGTGTATTTCGCCATTGTTGATGAGGTTTTCAAGAGATCCAGCATTCTTGAGTTTCTCGAGCATCTGAGGGATGAGTTAAAGAAAGCAGACAAGAAGAACTCGAGAGGGAGTTTCTCTGAGAGTATCAGTTTTAGCAATGTTCAAGATCAGCTTGTACGAAGACTCATAGCTTCATTAGAGCGTGTCCCTGAGGCTAGTGACGTCACTTGTCTTCCATTATCATCACCTTCTATAGATGACGCAGCTAATTCCACGAAAGCACCGCTTCTTGGAAGATCAAACAAGCAAGAGAAGAAGAAAGGGAAAGATCATGTGAACACATTGAGAGGGATTGAGTTAGAGGAACAAAGGAAATCTACTGATAGAGGCAACGTTACTGAATGTTCTAATGCCTCATCTGCTGCAGGAGCAGCATCGACGTATGTTCCAAGAAGGGGACGATCTAGTGGTTCGCAGAGCATTGAAAGGAAGTGGCGGCGTCAAGTGAAGATTGTTCTTGCTATTGATGCAGCTATTTGCTTGACTTTACTTGGTGTTTGGTTGGCTATTTGTCAGGGCATTGAGTGCACACGTTCTTGATTAACAAGCCCTCTTCTTCTCTTCAGCAACATCGTCTTCCAGATTCAAGTTTCGGCTTTCACTTTCATGTGACTTGATTGATCTACTAATTCTTTCACATATGTTTTCTCTTCTGTAATTTCTGTTTTGGAGACTGCAGTTTGACATAATCTGCAGCATTGTTGATTGTATATTTACGATTTAGGTATGAGGCTCAAGCTTTTCTACCTTGGTTTCTGTATGATAATGATGATTGTGTTTATATGATTTAGTGAATCTCAGAACAAGTTATAGCGCATTGTACATAAAAAAAAAGCTTGTTGCTGAGTGATGGAGCCGTTTTCTTTTTTCAGGCTCTACATTTGATGTTCTGAATGGAATATTTTGTGTTTTTTGGTCATAAGTTTTGAGTATAGTCTCTTTCGTGAGAACTCTGTTCTCTGCTGTTCTTAGTTCCTCTTCTGCAATTCGGACAACTACACAGATCTAATTAATGCCTCTTCACATCAAGATCATGAATGTTACATATTATGAGGAGACATTATCATAACTCATAAGAGATGATTATATCAGATCAAAGTGAAATATTGCAATCACATATTTCATTTTCCATCCACCGTGGATGGAGAAATGAAAGGTTTTAGTTTTCTTACATAGAATCAGAATCACACGCTTACAAGATAAACAATAAGTACATAAACAGAGTCTGGAGATTTTTTGTGTTTTGTCTTGAAAAAACAGAGGAAAAAAGAGTAAAAAGAGAGATAAGGAGGTGATGAATACCTCTCACCTGAATCCTAACCATGGTTGGGTCAACTGGTTTAGTTGATGTTAAAAGAAGAACCTAAAGGGAACCAAAATATCTCCCAAGAGGCAAAAACATGCAAATGCAATGACCCCACAATCCATCAAGTAGGGTTGGTTGAAAATAATGATGACCAATCTAAATTCTTGAATCTAAAAAAAATGATCTTAATCTAAAAGTTGGTTCAAGTGTGGCTATAACTCCAAAGCTTAGCCACCGAGAAATATACATGAAGTTAACAAACACCATTACTTCCTTTCTCCTTAAAGGAAGTTTCTCTTCTAGCTTTTCTATGATAAGACATTTCTTAACAACATGGTCCTAGTTCTAATAATCCTAAGACTGCACATTAAAATGGATATTACGCGAAAGTAGTGTGCACACCTTTGAACACACTACCTCAAACACTTCCAGGTGGTGGCAATTCATTTCTTGTGCCTTTCCTGGGATATCCTTATTTTCATTTCTTGTTGATGAGCCAATCCTAAGCTTTTTTAAGTTTTTCTACAAAATTGCTTGCCTTTTTGGGGCACTGTGCAAGACATGGTAACTCCTACTTGAGTTGATACTTCTACAGCTAGAACGAAACCTTTCGTTCAGAAGCAAGTGATGCAATGAGAGAAGAATGAAAAGATGAGTAAAGCGTATGACTATGGTCCACGTTAAACCCCTATGTGAGACTTAAAATGGATCTTGCAAAGATGCCCAAACTCCAAACTATGGGCTCTTGCCTAATGGGTTAGAAGCAACAAAGGGAAAAAGGGCAACCATGGTTAGGCCACAGGTCTTGTGAGACTTGGAGGCATGCGGATGAAACTAGTAAACAAAGCTTGCCTTTAAGGATTTAAATGAATCGGCCTCTACACAGGTGAAACATGAGCCTTCATGGTCAAGCCTGTGGAACTGCAAAGCAAACTGCTGAGAAGCATCAGTACCTCTGGGTTTCCAGGTGGTTGATATGAACGACGAAAACAGAATAAACTCACAAACCTGATGGTATGACCGGTGAAGGTGCAAGAGAGACTGGTGAACCGTTGTGATGTGAGTAGTTTCCTCCGGTCGAGGAGGCAAGAGGGGAGTAGTGAAACATGTGGTTTGGGTAGTGGAGAGGTGCATAACCAGTGACGGGTCCGTTTCCTTCAGCAAACTGGAGATATGGGTAGAAAGCTGCTGCTGCTGCTACACCAGTCATTGGTCCACTGCTATACATTGGATGCTGAGCAGTTGCTCCTCCATAAACATTGTAGTAGCTCTGTTATAAAACAGAAACCCAATAAGCTATATGAGATAGAAAAGAGAGTAGGGAGAGACTCTTATAGTTTAGTATACATACTGTGGGGTAATTGTAATCCATTGAGTAGGAAGAGAACCTAGGAAAGTTTAAAAAGACACCAAACAGAGGATTAATAAATCTATTTTAGAGTGATGAGTTTGGGAAAGTAGCAAGAGATTAAACCGTGGAGTACCCAAAAGGATTAGTGTAAGGAAGTGTGTAGTGAGAGTATGGAACTGGGGAAGGGAGAGCAGCAGCCGCTCCAAAGTGTGTCTTGAAAGGGCTTGTGATCTTCACGCCTCTTCCTCCTGCGTGTCCTGCCAAACACACAACACCATGAGAATGTCCTCTCAAACATTTGCTTAAAATCAAAACAAGACATATTTATACAAAGTTGTGTCTTCAGAGTATAAAACAAAACGCTTACGTTAATAATAACTAGTGTTCTGTAGATAATCAAGAGAAGACTGTTCAAGTAAACGGCAAGAAAATTGGTTTTTTTTACCAGTTGGTTCAATTAAGGATCAGGATGAAGTTACCTTCAGAACAATGGAAGTAATACATTATTTTATCTTCTCTATTATAAGACGGTTTATAAAGAATCTAACTTTAATCTGGTCTATGGAGTTACATATACTCATGGTACTCTTGGATTAGAATTTTCTTAAAAATCAATTAGATGATGAAGCATCAGAAGATAGAAACTTAAGGATCAAGATGAAGCTAACCCTCAGAACAATGAAGTAAGATATTATCTTTCCTCTGTATCTTAAGACGGTTTATAAAGAATCTAACTTCAATCTGGTCTATGGAGTTACATATACTCATGGTACTCTTGGATTCGAGTTTTCTTAAGATCAATTAGATGATGAAGCATCAAAAGATAGAAACTTCAGATACCGTGAATTGGAGAAGAAGGTTTTGATCTCTGAACACCAAAAGCTGCAAGATTGCAATTAGCTCTTCTCCCATCGATGACAGGAGCTGGATCTACACAAGCTTTCTGAGCTGCTTCCGGATCACAAAAAGTCACCTTCAAGAAAAGGAAAAAAAAAAACAGATTCCGTGAGCTTTAAAGGTAAAGATGACCGAGTAAAAGAGAAGAGAAGAAGAGACGCTTACAAAGCCGTAGCCTTTGGATCTGCCGCTGGATTTATCAGTGATAACGACAGCTTCAACAATGTCACCAAACTGTTCGAAGTAATTCCTGAGAGAGATTTTATGGGTTTCCCAAGCTAATCCTCCAACGAACACCTTTGTGAATGTCGTGTCTTCCATTTCTGAAACAAAAAGCAGAATTCAACGATACCCGCGAGAAAAAAAAACAAAAGAAAGTTTGCGAATTTGGGAACAGAAGCAGAACGGTTGTTGAGAGAATTGAGAAGAGAAGAGAAGAGAAGAGAGAGAGAAAGAGAAGGAGGGAAGAGGATTCAAGGAAAAGAAAAGAGTTGGGGGACACACTCATTCAATTATTTATCTTAACTTTTCGCAAATATCGATGACATTTTATTGTACGGTCACTGTGCATGTCCACTTTTTTTCTTCTTCTTTTTTATCGTTGGTCGCAATATCCACTCTGTAAATAGATTCACATTTCGGAGAATATATATTTGAGCTACTATTTGTAAATTTGGTAGATACTATATTTACCCGTGCTATGCTGAGGGATATTTTTCTAAATTTTGTATATATTTTTAATATAATAAAATTATTATTATCATGTAAATAAGTATTATATTTTTTTATTAGTTTAAGTTATGTATTTATATGTTAAAATCTGAATAAACATTATATATTTTTATTTTTTAAAATTATAATTTGCTATTAAATTTAGTTAGCTAACTAATTACAAATATATATATAGGAATAAAATATACAAAAATAAAGCAATACATTTTTAGTATCTTCATGCTAATAGTAAATGTAATCTATTTTCTCCATTAAACTGCTATTTGATCCTCCTTTGTAATTTATATAAAGTAAAATGTCATTTAAAAAAAAGGTTTATTAATTAATATAATTATTTTGAATTATAAAATTTATTTATTTATCAAATATTTTATAATAAATATATGTTTCTAAAACTACCAAACTATAATCAATAACATTCATACCAAAACTTTTGCTATTGCTTTAGAACTAAATAGAAAATTATGTTTGAACTCTTAAAATATCGTTTTAGTTAAAGTTAAATAATTAAATTTTGGTTACTGTAAACATACTTTAACTTGAAAAATTTAGCACAGAGAAATCTCATCTTCTTACAAAAATCGAAAAATCGCATTTTCGTCAAAACAAAAAAAAATATTTTCCCATTAAACTGAGAAATCATCTATTTCCACCAAAACCAAAAAAAAAACATTTTCTTTTCAAACCTGAAACCTAAAATTTCATTTTCCTGCGAGAATCTGTATTTTTCCACCAAAACCGAGAAATTACGTTTCACAAAAACCAAAAAATTTCATCTTTCTACAAAAACAAAAAAAAAATTATATTTTCCTGCCAAAATCGAAAAATTTATTTTTTCTGCGAAAACTGAAAAATCGTCTATTCCTGCCAAAACAAAAAAGAAAATATTTTCCGCAAAAACCAAAAAAAGCCAAGAATCACGCTTTTCTACAAAAAAAATAAACTACAATTTTTCGCGAAAACCAAAAATTGCATTATCTACTGTGAAATTGTGTTTTCCAGCGAAAATTAAGAAATTGTTATGTTTTTATTATTATTTATTTATTGTTTTTTATTATTTGGATTTAATTTTGGCAAAAAAAAAACAATGATTAATTTTTTAATTTTTTTATTTATTACTTGGGTTTGGATTTGACAAAAAATAAAATAATAATTTTTTTTTTACTGGTATTAATTATTTGGGCTTGGGTTTGGTAAAAAATAAAACAAAAATTAATAAAAAAATATTTGGATTTTCAATGGGTTTAAGTTTAAGAATTAAAATAAGTAGATTGAGATGTATTAATAAAATGTTTTGATTGTGATTATTTTTGCTGAGGTGTCATGTTTATAATGCTTCAAAAAGCTGATATGTCAAGTCATTGAGAGACTTTAGTGTTATTGTTGTGTTGATTTAGGTGGAAAAAGTGAATATTTGTAATGTACAATGTATTTAAGTTCCACCAAAATTGTGTAACAAAAACAAACCATCAACAGAAAATATTTCTTTTATTCCTTTTATTTTCTTTTATTTTTGTTCTGTTAGTCCATCTATCTATCCCTCTAAATTAACTACCAGTTGAAATGTTTTTTTTTTTACTTTTTCATTAAAAATGGTAAATTATTTATTTTCAACCTTGAGAAATTCTTGTATTTACTTTCACGATTAAGAACCCATGTTATAAATTGCACACAAGCTGAAGCTGTATATTTTTGTTAAAGAAATAAATCGCACATGCATATATATATATATATATACTTATTATTTTTGTTAACATTACATGCATATACTTTTTTTTGCTAAAACATGCATATATTTATTAGAGTATAATTTAATGTGTTATCCACCTTATTTATGTTTGTGTAGTTGGATCAAATTAAGTTTTCAAATCTTCACAAATTATAATCTCTGCGGACTTGTAATTTATATTCAAATCATTATATGATTAAACGCTAATTAACAGTTTAAGTTGAAATAAATTTATTTATGTCTTAATAAATCCCACTGTTCTATTTTCAAAATTATGTGATTCTTATCTATCAAAATCCTTACTCATTTTGTGTCAAAATTTATTCATGTTCAATAAAACATTTGCGTCGAAGAAATCTCTTTTTGAACTCTTTATGAGATCTCACAACAACGGCCAAAGTTGGTCTAATCTTCGGCCAATAGTCCAAAAGTGATTGCTCTAAACCATTTCAAAGGCTAGTCAATCTTATAAATTATGGTTTTTATTATATAATGTTCGGCAGAAGTTTAAGAAAATTCTACAAATACGAAAAAAACGAGGCAAAGTGCATAATTAAAATGGAAACACAAAGAAAAAAAAAAGAGTTAAAGAGAAAAAGGGCAAAGAAACAGAGCTGTCTCCCCACGCCTTTAGACCAAAAAAGCCTTAACACATTCCTCCCCACGTGGCCCACCTCTCGTCATCATTCATCCACAGCCTAGCAATTCGATTTACAGCTCATCATGGAGCCCACAATCAGATCTCAATTATTATTTTGGGCCTTTTACGGCCCATAAAGTATATACTATGTTTCGATCCTTGTGGCTTATAAAGAAAGAGCCCGTTTCTATCCGACGGCAGGCTTTATTTTTGTTTTTCTTGGTTGCACAAAAACGATTTTGGGGATTCGAAAAGCACTTTCTTTTAGTAACCTTGAGATCATTTCTTTATCCTTTTGATCTGGAAGTTTCATTGGTAGTAGATATGAATGTGTATGTTTATCTCTTGCTAGTGGAAACTGATGTAGGCAATACTACAACTACAACACAAAGAATCTTGTTTAATCTGTGAAAGTACTTTTGTTTCGTTTAAAACTATTTATTAGAGATATAATCTCTCTGATTTTATTCTGGTTTACATTGGTTATTGTATTTAGTTTACTATCACTTGTATATATAAGACTTATCTTCTACATATTTGTAAAACATGAAAATCGCCCCTGACCCTAAGATGATACTATGATATTTTTGGAAAACGTTATGCGTAAGGAAGCAATAATTGCATTCAAAACTCTTCACAATTTTTGGATATAGTCGGAGAAGACAACACCTAAAGTTTTTGAGGCAATGAGAAATATTATAGATGAGCTCAAAAAAATTTCAATTTTTTTTAAAAAAACAATATTAGATTTATATTTTAATAGATTATCTTGAATAAATATATTTGCATAATGTTTTTTATATATGATATTTATTAATTTATGATATTGATAGAACTATATTTTATATATAGTTCCAAAAAAAATTATTATCTTATTAATATATCGATTTAAATTAAATTTTGAACCGATCCAACTCGGAACCGAGTAAAATTATTGATTTATCAAATTTATTAATTTATCGAATATTAATTTATAGAGTTTATATGGTAATATTGTATTTTTATATATTTTATATTATGTGTAATCAACTCACAATATATGTTCATTCGAAATCGAAACTAAGATATTACAGTCAGTCATAACTTAATATTACATATACATCTCTCGCTTCATGCATCACTGGTATAAAAAAAGTAAGGAAAACAAAAATTTGGGTTTTAACTTTTAAGAGAGAAGGAAAACAACTAAGCTATTAACACTATGTCTTTTACTTTCTTTCATCACCCTCTACTTTCTCTTTCTTAAAAAGCAATTATGAAGGTGACGTTCTAAGGTTTCATCGGTTTGGGTCGGCGTTCAAGGATCCTCCTTGGCGATGTGCCCTTTTTCTGCTTTTTCTTAGTTTGTATTGACATCTCCTCGATCCATGCGTCTTCGCCCCTTATTGAATCACCTACGCTTCAGATGTGAATCAGATGGGGTGGTATTAGCATGTATATAGCGTTCAATACATGTATATAATAGATAGATGGTTAAGGGCTCTGGATTTGTACGGTTTATTGGTTTGTTTAGCTTGGTTTACTAGTCAACGGTATATATACTTTGTAATGTTCTTCAATAACGAGAAATCTTTCCTTGTACACTTCTCTCTCGTTGATGTGTAAACAGTAATATGGTATCAGAGCGAGGTTATACCCAACTGTCCTGATTGTGGCCTCCACTCGTGATTATACTCCACGCTTCAGATTTAGAATTCTGAGTGTGAGGGGGCGTGTTGGAATTGTCCCACATTGGAAGTTTAGGAGATTTGTGGCCAGTATAAATAGTGTGAGCTAGCTTTTGGGTGTGAGTTATGCTCATTACTAATATGGTATCAGAGCATTTTTCTGCGATTTCTCTCAGATTCTTCCATTTCTCTTTGATTTCACCGATAGATTGTTGTTCTGAAGCCGAATCTGTGATCAATTTGACCTCACGACATCTTGAATCACCTTCAAGAGCTTCGTTCTCGGTTATCGATTCACATATACCTCCGATCTTCAACAATGGTGAAAGTCAGCCATAAAACGTGCAACCGTGTGTATTCTTCTACCGAGAAATTCCCGATGCAAGATCTTCCAGCTGAAGACACCATCGCGATCACTCCGCATCACGGATTTGCGTCAAATCGAGCTCGATCTGCACAATTTTCGTCAAAATCTGAATTCTACGACAACGTTCACAGTCCTTGCTTCCTTCACACAGGTGATCACCCTGGTCTTTCTATCGTCACGTACATC